ACGGCCTCATTTACCTCCACCTCGTAACGCTGTGCCGATTTTAAAGCGACATCAACATTTCTCATTCGTGCTTCGCATATCAGTGATTCCCACTGTACGTAGGATCTGCCATTTTGTTTTTGTTTGTTTTTTTGTAAACGGCATTCGGGCTTTTTTCTCACGTGCCATTCTATGTAACCGGGGAACCATGTGTTCCTATTTCGGTATCACTGACCAGCGGCCCGCATTTGCTTGGTTTGGGTCAAAACAGCTTTCCTTGCCCTTGCTAAACACCATCAGCACATTTCCGACAATAGAGTAACGAGACACCCGTGTCCTCCAGACTATGAAAATACAGTCGTTATATTGTTATTTTATATCACTGCCAGAATACTAATACATTCTCGAAGCTTATCTATCTACAAAAATACAGATAGTCAAGCGTATCTCTAAAATACTATCGTGATACTCTCGTATCGTGATACTGCTCAGCTTTCGCATGTCCAACAGAGTTCTTGTGCTCGAGCCGTGCGTCGCGGAGGAAACATTATCGTCATCTTGAACTGGCACGCACTCTTTTCTTCACTACAGATAATCAAGAGTATCATTAAGATACTATCGCAATAATTTTGTATCATGATACTGCACAGCCTAACAAGCCCAACAATAGACCTGTTTTACTCGAGGTTGGCTGTGCATCGCAGATAAATAATTGACGTCATCATGAACTGGCAAGCACTCTCTTCTTAGCTACAGATAATCAAAAGTATAAGATCCAATCGAAATTCTTTTGTATCATGACACTGCCCAGCCCTCACAAGACCAAAAGCAGAGCTGTAGGGCTCTTGGTTGACTGTGCGTCGCAGATAGAAAATTGAAGTCATCATGAACTGGCACGCACTCTCTTCTTCACTACAGATAATCAAAAGTATAAGATACAATCACAATTGCTTTGTATCATGGCACTGCCCAGCCCTCACAAGACCAAAAGCAGAGCTATAGTGCTGTTGGTTGACTGTGCATCGCAGATAGAAAATTGAAGTCATCATGAACTGGCACGCACTCTCTTCTTCGCTACAGATAATCAAAAGTATAAGATCCAATCGAAATTCTTTTGTATCATGATACTGCCCAGCCCTCACAAGCCTAAAAGCAGAGTTGTTGTGCTCTTGGTTGACTGTGCGTCGCAGATAGAAAATTGACGTCGTCATGAACTGGCACGCACTCTCTTCTTCGCTACAGATAATCAAAAGTATAAGATACAATCACAATTGTTTTGTATCATGGCACTGCCCAGCCCTCACAAGCTTAAAAGCAGAGCTGTAGTGGTCTTGGTGACTGTGCGTCGCAGATAGAAAATGGACGTCATCATGAACTGGCACGCACTCTCTTCTTCGCTACAGTTAATCAAAGTATAAGATACAATCGCAATTGTTTTGTATCATGGCACTGCCCAGCCCTCCCAAGCCCAAAAGCAGAGTTGTTGTGCTCTGGGTTGCCTGTGCGTTGCAGATAGAAAATTGACGTCATCTTGAACTGGCACGCGCTCTTTTCTCAATACAGATTATAGAGAGTATCTCTAAGATACTATCGCAATAGTTTGTATCATGATTACTGCCCAGCCCTCACAAGCCTAAAAGCAGAGTTGTTGTGCTCTTGGTTGACTGTGCGTCGCAGATAGAAAATTGACGTCGTAATGAACTGGCCACGCACTCTCTTCTTCGCTACAGATAATCAAAGTACTGCCCAGCCCTCACAAGCTTAAAAGCAGAGCTGTAGTGGTCTTGGTTGACTGTGCGTCGCAGATAGAAAATTGACGTCATCATGAACTGGCACGCACTCTCTTCTTCGCTACAGTTAATCAAAAGTATAAGATACAATCGCAATTGTTTTGTATCATGGCACTGCCCAGCCCTCCCAAGCCCAAAAGCAGAGTTGTTGTGCTCTGGGTTGCCTGTGCGTTGCAGATAGAAAATTGACGTCATCTTGAACTGGCACGCGCTCTTTTCTTCAATACAGATTATCGAGAGTATCTCTAAGATACTATCGCAATAGTTTTGTATCATGATACTGCCCAGCCCTCACAAGCCTAAAAGCAGAGTTGTTGTGCTCTTGGTTGACTGTGCGTCGCAGATAGAAAATTGACGTCGTAATGAACTGGCACGCACTCTCTTCTTCGCTACAGATAATCAAAAGTATAAGATACAATCACAATTGTTTTGTATCATGGCACTGCCCAGCCCTCACAAGCTTAAAAGCAGAGCTGTAGTGGTCTTGGTTTACTGTGCGTCGCAGATAGAAAATTGACGTCATCATGAACTGGCACGCACTCTCTTCTTCGCTACAGTTAATCAAAAGTATAAGATACAATCGCAATTGTTTTGTATCATGGCACTGCCCAGCTCTCACAAGCCCAAAAGCAGAGTTGTTGTACTCTTGGTTGCCTGTGCGTTGCAGATAGAAAATTGACGTCATCATGAACTGGCACGCACTTTCTTCTTCACTATGGATAATCAAAAGTATAAGATACAATCGCATTGTTTTGTATCATGACACTGCCCAACCCTCACAAGCCCAAAAGCAGAGCTGTTGTGCTCTTGGTTGGCCGTGCGTCGCAGATAGAAAATTGACGTCATCATGAACTGGAACGCGGTCTTTTCTTCACTACAGATAATCAAAAGTATCTCTAAGATACTATATCAACAGTTTTGTATCATAATACTGCCCAGCCTAACAAGCCCAACAGTAGACCTGTTTAGCTCGAGGTTGGTTGTGCATCGCAGATAGAAAATTGACGTCATCATGAACTGGCACGCACTCTTTTCCTTATTATTATCTTCTGGTTCAATACGAGAAATTTCTCCGGCGTGGAATGCAACTCCGTTGAGCCAAAAATAGCTCCGTTACACTCCTGCTTATATGAAGGACGCAATATAACCTGTCTATCTATCTATCTATCTATCTATCTATCTATCTATCTATCTATCTATCTATCTATCTATCTATCTATCTATCTATCTATCTATCTATCTATCTAGCTGCCTACGTCTGTATGCTCTCATGATCACCTCCTTCATTAAGAATACACTGAAATTAGTACGGTAGGGTAAGCGGGTTTCATGATTATGACTCGCTGGTCATGACATGAATAATGTTATGGTCTCGTCGCCTAAGTCGTCAAACCTTCTCTGCCAGACGTTCAGCAAATACCCGTGAGTGGGTATAATGGCCACCGGCAGGAAGGAAGAGAACAGACATGGGTGATTTTAACCCATGAGCGTTAATAAAAAGCTGACATCAACACCGTTGGTACGGCAAATTCAAAGAATAAATGTTAGAGTCCCAGCAAGAATCAAACCCCAGTGTTCTGCGTGGCGATCAAGCATTCTACCACTGAGCCACGCCAGGTCTGGGAACTAATTGTCAAATACACCTTAATTTTCGTTGAACTCCAATTGTGGTTGCACTGCTGGCTATCAAATTTTATAGACATACACATTTACTTATACGATACTGCCCTGTCGTCGGGTGAACGTCAATTGTAGTTAGGCGTCATCGCTGAAGTTGATTTATGTAGTACTGTCTGGTGCTACCACCCTCACGAGCACTAGGGCTTCAAATTTGCTCACTGCGTCCAGTGTTGCTGATATTAGTGTTGTTGCTGGCATATGTGGCTGTTTAACGTATGCTTGTGCGTGCATTTGTGCATTTATTTTGTGCCATTTCATATTGCCTCGCTCTATAAAAAACTACAACATGGTCACCTTTCATTCGTATGCTTCGTATAACATTGATTCCCAAGGTACGTGGAATCAGCATTTTTTTTTTGTCATAAGGACGTTAGGCTTGGTTCTTCGCACAAGCTGCACATGAGTACATGTTTCCAGGAACAGGCATGTAGACAATATGCCTGTTTAGCTCACGTCCTGGTTGCAGTTCGGGACATAGCTGAATTTTTATATGTTGTCGAATCCGCCCCATGTTGTGAACATTAGTTGGCCTGGAGGGGGAAATGGGGGAGGGGAATGCGGCTCCTTTGATTGACTGAAAATGTTATCATTATTAAAGTTGTCATGGTTAAATTCGAGCTGTCTTTAGAATAGCATTAGCGGCAAGTATACTAATGTAGCTTGACTGCCATGAAGCATTTCGAAAAGACAATGCAATAACGGCACGCCCAGTCTTTGAGATGATGTTACACACCCACACAAAAACACGTGCACATGAGCACACAATGAACAATTGGCTCGAAACCAGGTGGCACCTATGAAGAAAAACAATAATAAATTTAAAATATCAGACAACAAAGGAGCTAAATGGAGTAACCGGACAGAAGATAGATCATAATGTCAGCTTGAGGGTGGTAATAAACTATTGGGATATATGCGCATCTGAAGTTCAGTTCGCTGGCAGACAGAGACACACTGACTATTTCTCTTTTGAAGCGTTGAAACGAATTTTCGGCCTTGTACGTGCATTTGGCAAGAAGGTTAGAAAAAAAAATTGTATTGAACATAAATAACCGCTCAATCTGATGGGCTATAGTGGAAAAGAAAAATTCTTTTTTCGCTAAAAATAATGAACTTCCGGTAACAAATTCTTCTTCTGGAACATAACAAATTTCTAGCTACCGATATTGTTTGGCGTTTGCAGGCTGAAAACATAACCCCCAATATTTACGACAGAAACAAGATTTGATGGATTTGACTTAGAAAACAAGTTCACTATCATGATGTTTGCTGCTTGAAATAAGCGTATCACTCTATACTTCAAGATCAAGAAAAAAAATAACTCATAATTATAATCCATAATGTGACTTGCCGCCTCGTTTCAACGCATTTCAAAAAGGGCGCCATAAACATTGTCATTATCATCATCATCAATAATATTACTTTTTTAAAGTTGAGATGTCAAAATTAACGCTCGTGTAGTGTTGCCGTCAACAACATTGAAAATTTACCGCCCGCAGGGCCGTTCCTAGCGGATTCTCGAGCTTGTAGGAAAGGTTTTCGTCCTTGCATCAGTTTCCTTCATTTTTGTGTTCGCGCTAGCGACATTCTTCGCAGCGCGCTGCAGTGCTTGTGCCTTCGTCCAAGCTAGAAAGGCGCGGACTTCGTGACCGTAGGGGGCCAAAACCACGTTGTGCACGCAGCAGAGGACACCGCCGAAAAAAGCGCGCTTCGCTACGAAATATGGGGCGGCATATGGTCAAGCAAGATGTCCCAGATTAGGCTGGCTGCGATACCCAGTGCGCTAGTTACTTTATCCGGGGCGCCGGGGCCCTCCGGGCGTATCTGATGTGTGGTGCGATAGCGGCATGCGATACGTATTTGTGCGTAGTCGGTGCTCTTCGTTTTCGCTGATATGTCGGGAACGGTTTCAACCGATGACCTAGTGCTTGCGATATGCACTTTCTGCTTAAAGTTTACGCTATCTTATTAGTTTATCTTCCTGTTGAAGTGCGGATATGAAGAAAAAAAAAAAATGTTGTGGATTCACGAAGGGAGTTGTGCACCGAAAGTCGTGAGTACTGTCGGCACCGAAGACTTGCGGTGGATCGGATTTCACGAGAGAACATAATTTGCGCATTCAGGCTGCTCAGGAATAGAGTACTGCCTTGGTCGCGTTAACTAGATCAGCCAGGAACGTTGGTTCTAAAGTTTCACGCCCATATTCCATGCTGGTGCCACACGAGCTCGTTCGATCGCGATAGCGCTCAATCAGGATCGAATTTCTCAGTATAAGTTGGCTCCATTTGCGCAGGCTGCTTCGCGGCCGGTATATTCGATCCTTATTGGGCTTGTTCCCTTAAAAAAAGTGGTTTTCTGACACCCATAATAACGTGTTTTCATAGATATCGAGCCCCGCAATCTTTCAGTGCCGACAATGGTGACCTATAACAACAGGTGATGAATTTACGAGTAACGTGTGAAAGTTTGTGTGTGACGACGTTTATGGCTGCTAGTGACATTAATTTCAGATGCCGTCTGCTTGCAACATTTATCGAATGGTGATGGTGGAGAGGCCTTGCAGATGACGTTGTTTGGAAAGCAGAATATGACATCGTGGTTGTAACAGCTAAGTGAACTGGTACTCGGCGTTTCTTTGGTTGATTGCGCGTGACACTTGGGTGGATTGTTCACATTCACATAGGACCTGGCTTGCTCGAGAAAGCTAGGTCCTATGCATGCTTTGAAAGAATGAAGAACATACAACGATAAATGTGCTGCTCCAAACAGTAATTTTCGTCAGTGATTGCTCCAAACGTGCTCCGAAATGACGCTGAAAGAATGAGAATGACGGATTTTTACTTTGACTGACTCATAAGTGCTAACGAAACCGAAAAGAGTCTGTGTATTATCATCCCATTGTGCTACTAGTATGCAGCATTATCGGCTCGGATCTCATTTGTGCGGCAAGAACAGGCATATGAAACATAGCTCATTTGGCTGTTTTTTTTTCTCCTGAGCTAGACATGCAGACTAGTGTGGTGGAATGTAAAAATGAGTAGGATTGCTTTTATAGCGATTATCTGCTGCTTATTTGGAAACAGTTATATGGGACTGTGGTTACTTCTAAAATGTGGCACTCAGATTTTCCTGTTTTTATATAATTTTTGCCACAAATACTATTATATTAAATTGTAGCTTATTTCACTGCACATTTTTGACAACAGGCCTTTGCTTGGTTCATGAAATTTATTGATTGTTGTCTCTTAAATATATTTGTATTTACGAGGTGCTTTGACTTTGCTTAAAGCTCCAATTATGTGTGGCAAATTTAATGTCTGCTTCTAAAACATCAGAAGTTGCTCTGAACTAGCATTTTTTTTTCTGCTCCTAAAACGCTTAGGGCTGCTCTAAAGCAGCATTTTTCGAGCTCCAAAGTATGGTCCTACAAGTAAGAAAAGTCTCTTCTATCGCTGTCGCTATTCCGGATTCATTATAGCGCTTGCTGCAGTGTTATTTTACTTGTGTAGTACCACAACAGCTTGTGAATGAAGCGCGGAAGAACTCGCCACACAGAATAAAATCTTTAAAGTGGTGGACAAGGGGAAAGAAATGGACTTTGTTCAATTTGTGTGCCTGATGCTAACCTTGTGTATTTTCTCTTTTTTACAGTGTGTCGGCTTGAAGAAATCCATCATCTTCAGAACTTGTCACATATGGCGCATTCCTTTTTGCTTTTTTTGTCATTGCAAGGCTGGAGTGCCTTGTGGAGCTTTCTGAGTTTGAGATGATATGTGACTGTGCTTGTTATGCTTTCCTGGTCGAGTTGGCCTTGTCGAAAAATTTACTTTTGTAGGCAGTTCTTGCAGATATTCGGTTTTGTTCCATCAGTGTTTGTATGAATTGTTATTACAGCAGTTTTGTTGCCATGAAGTATTGCTGCTTGTTTTGAATAGCACTCTTTTATAACTTCACTTGGTTGTGGTGTAGTGATGCTGAGGTGTCAAGCTAATGGGAACATAGTAGTCACTATTGGGCTAATTGGTGTATGTCTAGAATCGGTAGTTGACTTCATGCCAACAGCATAACCATAGTGGAAGACGAAGCAATGCATAAACAGGACAAGAGCTCATAACTGTTCACTTTTTGAGGAAGGCAAATAAATCCACTGTTCGGCAACGCATGAGCCTTTGTCACATGCACATAATAACGTGCCCCAAGGCTTGAACGAGTTGTTCGTGCAGTAAACAGTTGTACGCAAGCGGTCGTCCTGTCTGTGTGTTTCCTCGTTTTTCAGTGTGGTCTTGGCACGAAGTACTGTTAATCGGAAAATGTTAAAAGGACAGCTACATAAGTTGTATAACATCAAAATGAGATCCATAAGACTGACATATCAATAATGTTTGCATATTTGTCAGATTTACTTGTTCTAACACATCAATATTCCTGCATATTTATTTCCTTTAGTTATTGTTTGAGGTTAATGTTCAGTGCTTGTGCTTTTGATACCAAATGTAATGTCTTTCCTTTGCACGTAAACTTATTGGTTTCTCATTCACCATGAAGGAAAATTGGTATCAAGCGTAATATGACACAATTACTGTACAAAGATGGCAAGGACAAGGGAACAGCTAGCATGGTCTTGTGCTTCTTCTTCAAATCCTTGTCCTCTTTGTGCTACTAAGGATAAGCATGTCTTGAGCAATGTACTGCCGCGGTCGAAATGAGCTCTCACATACGCCGTGCCTGCTGTTGAGGTGGGGCCAGCGCATAGAAAAATTGAAGCTAATATTGTTTTTATTACTCAAATATTGTTAATCAATTTAGTATTTTTTATTTGTCATTGCATTGTTGCACTTATTTTGCTTCTCTAAAATTTTGACGAGGACCGCTTAGCAATCATTACTAGTCAGTTGCCACCTCTATAAACATGAATTCAATTCATTTTTGATGTGTAAATTACAATGTCACTAACATTTCTTTCTTAAAAAATACACTAAGTTATATCTCTACACTTACGAACATGTTTGTTGAATATATCATGGTGTGGTTGACATATCTTTATTCACAAGTTGTGGGTGTCATATCAAGTGTTTTATCATTTCTGCATTTATCTACGCGTCAGCCCCTTTATTACTTCTACAATGTAAAAACAGTTGCATCGTAAGGTAGTCTTGGTGTCCGACAACAATAATAATTTGGCATGCCTGCATCTTCTTTTGTCAGAAATGTGCTCACCAGTTTTCTTTCAAGAATACTACGTTGCTCTTGTAGTGTGCACGCTGTTCATGGTCTGGACCTACTGGACACAGCTTTACAGCAAGTTGAAGACGTGCAGGATGGATGAATATTATTGTTCTTTGATGTGATGAAAACGTGTTTAAAAAAAATGCAACTCTTTATAAAGTGCACCTCTTTCTCTATAATTATGTCTCCTATACAGTAGTTATATCAGAGTTTCTTTGAAGTCAGTTATTCTCTAAACTCTGGAATATCCTGTTGCAGTTACTTTCTAGAGGTAACACTGCCATGTCGTTTAACGTAAGCTTGAGTGTTTCAGTAGGTGCTCCCAGTTTCAAGTCATAAATTGTTTTGGGCTAATCTGTTCATTTTCAGGCTTCTTAAAAAGTAAAAGCACAAAAAGTGGATGCCACAGGCGTTGACTAACACCTTATTAGGCAGCGCGGGTTCCTTCGTGCATGTGTCTTTTCACTGCCGCTTTCTAACAGGTCCCAGCTTGGTTTTTACTGTAGGAGTATATTGTCATGTGATACAAATTGATCGAGTGATTGATTTAAGAAATTGATGGATCTTCTCTGCATTAGGCCTAACAATTTTCAAGCTGGAGCCGTCCGACAAGGTTCCCGGGTCCTGGGTTCCTGCTGCGAGCTCGTACGAGGGAGCTGACGGGTTCGAGACCCTGCGAGACCTGGTGGCTCAAGCACAAGCGGCAGCCGATGCCCCCATGTTCTCAAACCAGGCCGCCGTCTGTCCAGTAGGGCAAGTGAGACCTGGGTTGCCAACGGTAAGTCCTACTACACTCCACCTTTCACCGTTGTTGCATGCAATTCAGCAAGAATTGGACCATCTCCCGCTAAAGGGAACCATGTGTAGATGCGAAGCAGCATGCACTAAGGCTTACACTGGGAGCGGCGTTGACGCTGGCACTCATCAAGCGAAAGCTAAGTAAAGACGCCCTTGACTGAATTCCGAACGCGCAATCTAGTGCCTACATATATGGGAGGGCCAGTGGATGGTTGTGCAGAGCGAGCAGTCGATACTTTACTAGCAGGCGGCTTTGTGAGGCGAGAGAGGGAGAGAGGAGGGACAGTTTTGCAAGTGTAACACATGGCGACAGGCTAGGGAGTGAGTGACGTCAATGCTTTCACTGCGAGGGAAGGCGTCACTTACTTGGCACCGCCCTAACACCTGGGGCCAAGGGAGCGCGGTGTGGACAGTGGGACAGTGTTACACGGGCTAGTCCAAGAGCTGCTTCGCATCTAAAAAAAAAAGAGAGAATGGGTTGAAGCTACAGTTTTCCACCCTTCTAGTAGACTCCTGATGATGGTTCACACCTACTTGATTTTATGATAGGGCGCTTGCCTATTGCGCCCATAGCAGTTGCTTAGCAGCTGTGGTGTTGAACTGTGCAAGGCACCCTCAAATGATTCTTGAAATTGTGTCAATGTTCAGGCTCCAGCATCATCAAATCATTCACACTGTAAGTTGGCTAATGCACCTTGTATCAAGGAAGCTACAGGCAATTATGTGTGACCATTCTCAGCACTGCCTCTCCTCCTGAACTTGCCGGAAATGCAGCCGTCGCTAGCGACAGCAGCGCATTCACGCTCGATGAAGACTAAGTGCATCACAAAATGGTTGAGATCAGCTTCATCGAATACAGAAACACAACCAGCCGTTTCCAATTTACTTTCCTGCATGGCAACAATTTGCCAAGCCATGTGCAGGAACAAAAGTATTTGATGATGATGACGATAAGTAGGCGTGTCCAAATATTCGTACTTTCAAATAATTTTCTGATAGTGTTTGCAATTCTATTGTATTTGCACCAGAAATAATTGACTTCAGGAAAATGAACTAAACAACTTTATTTATAAAAATCGAGATCGCACCAATTCTAAATGATGTACATGAACCCGATTCTCCTCGCGAATTTCAGCCAGAAGACAAAAAAAAAGGAAAGCACAATGCACCCTCACAGAAAGTGAAATTTATACTGCTGGAAGTTCCTTTCCTCTGGTGGTCCAGTTTTGGATATGCCTCAATCGCGTGCTGTTACAAGGGCTGTTGCTCTTACAAGCTCGGTCGACGCAGACCTGCTTAAGAATGCCCGCGAGCTTGTCATTGAGGTCCAAATATTTTCTCCTATTTTCGTCCTGTACTGACTTTTCTGGTCGATGTGTGCAGTTGATTATTTTCCTTTGTTAGAACCACTTTGCACCACCAAAGCTTTCTGTAGATGTTACCAGAAAACCTTGCTATGCAATGATGTATAGACCACATTTTTGCTCAGATTGTTATGCTGCGATAATGAAGTTGCAGTATGGGACAATATTTTTGCCAACTTTGTCACGATTCTGACACGATGCTCCTGCTTTATTTGTTCCCAAAGCATTTTGATCATGTAAGTATATGTTCTTGAAAGAGCATAATTATCAAATACTACTATAGTCGGTGACCGATTTTTCCAACATGCTTGCTAATTGGACATTTACCGGGCACCAGGACATACCCTATAAGTTCAATGTATTTCACAGCTCGAAATTTTGGACACTTGAGGATGGGCTGTTCGATATTTCGAACTTTCCAAGCATCAGTCGAGCCGACTGCCAGCATGTTCTCGCGCCGCCGCCATCTTGTTTGTTTACTTTTTTTTTTCCAGTAGCCTCGAACCGGTGCTGGCCGTGCACGTGCCGCTAGCTCCGCTAGGGTGGCTACCTCGAACTGCTGGATCGAGGCTATTTCCGCATCAGCGTCGCTGCCGAAAAAATTTTTTTTTCTTCTCTGCTGTGACCGTTGGATTGATAGGAACACATCGACTGTTCGCCTGTGCGTGTGCCATGTGTTCCGCGTGTGTTGCCTAGCTAACTGCACTCATTCGAAATGAATAAGGGATCGTCGATGTTGGCGTCGGCCTCGAGAGCTCCGATGACGCGCGGCAAGTATGTCACCATGTCGATGGCGAAAAAAGCTGTCATCGTCAAGCTTGTTGAAAGTGCCCGATCGCGGGCAGATGTTGCGAAAGAGTTCCATATTTCCAATCAGACTCTTTCGGATTACATCAAGAGCAAGCGGAAGATTTCGAAGGCGGCGAAAAAGTCCACTGGATGTCGTCAGAAAAATGTCAGCCAAGGTACCTACCCTAAGCTCGAGGCGGCACTACTCGTATGGCTGAAGTCCACAGTGGCCAGCAAGGTTCCCGTCTCTGGGGGCCTTCTCAAACAGAAAACTGAGACTATGGCGCTTCAAATGAACATTGAAAAATTTAAGGTTGGCTTGAAGAAGCACTCTGACCTTAATTTGAAAAAACTGTGCGGTGAAACTGCAACTGTTGACATCAGGTCGTTGGGAACTACCGCTCTGAAAAGCTCCAGTCTCTTTTACAGCTGTACTCGCCACACGATACTTTCAGCTGTGACGAGACCAGACTGTTTTTCAAGCTGATGCCAAAAAAAGACTCTTGCCTTTGCTGGCGACCCTTGTCATGGTGGCAAACACAGTAAGGAGCGAGTTACTGTACTGATCGGTAGCAATATGTCGGGCACAGAAAAACTGCCGATGCTCGTCATCGGCAAGTCGAAAGCTCCGAGGTGCTTTAAAGGTGTAAAGTCCCTGTCTGTTTCGTACGAGGCCAACAAAAAGCCTGGGTAACACAGAAGATTTTTGAAAGCTATGTGAGAAGACTAGATCGCAAATTTGATTTAGAAGGTGGCAAGATTGTGTTGTTTGTCGACAACTGCGCTGTGCACGGACACATAGGCAACTTGAAGGCTGTGCGCGTCGAGTTCTTGCCACCAAACACGACAAGTGTCCTACAACCGATAGACCAGGGTGTCATACGTGCACCAAAAGAGAACTATTCGTCACGGTTGCTTTCACGTGCGGTGGTGTGCTTCGACAGTGAAAAAGTGTACTCGGTCGATTTGCTTGGGGCACTTATCATGCTGGCCGATGCGTGGAAGTCAATGACATGTACAGTGTCATCGACTAGGTGTCGGAGCGCGAGCAGCTTATCGACGACCTTCGCACTGCGGGCGTTGAGATTCCATCAGATGTCTCGTTTTCCGAATTTGCGTGTGTGGACAGAGAGTTAGAACTTTGCGCTGGCCTCACGGATGAGGAAATCATTCGCCAAGTGCTTTCGGAGTCCGAGAACGAAAATGACGACGACAACTTACCTGCAACAACACAGCTGACTCAAGCTGAGCTGATGCAAGCACTCGCAACTCTTTTGTCAGCTCACAGCGACACGACAACTTTAGCCGAAACGCGGGCGAACATGCTCGCACGGAAGCGAAGCATGGTCCAGAAGATAAATAACTTTTTCCACCCTCCGGCTTAATAGTAAGCAATAAAGTGAGCATTTTAGGGGCACATTTGCTTTTTCGGACTGCCCGATTTTTCGGACATTTTCGCGGTCCCTTGAGGGTCCGAAAAATTGGTTGTTGACTGTATGTGGTGAACTCATAATACACCATGTATGAAACAGCAGTTCAAGAAACACTGTCTACGAATAACTCATGCCCTTGTTGCCTAACCAATATAAACCCGAACTGATACATTTGTTTCTTCTTTTTTTTCTGTGGATGCTATGAACTCGTAGCACAGTTCATCAGGGAATGCTGTGCATAGTATTGCCGTATTTACTCGATTCTACCGCGCCCTCGATTGTAACGCGCACTCGGTTTCCACGTCGAAAAAAAAAGAAGAAAGTAAGACATCGATTGCAACGCACACCCATTTTTCTCGTTGGCCCGCACGATCACACTACTCGTGAAAACGACTCCTTTCGGGAGCGTCTTTCGTTTTATTATGAGGTACGGGGGAAGCTTGTGCCTATCTGAGGTGCAAAGGAGCATTGCCGTCACTCTTGTTTTACCGTGGCCCGATGTCGGCATGCGAACTTGCTTCGCCTCCTCCTTCTCGATGGTTGTGGTGCCAGGCATGTCTAAGTAAATAGGCGTCTGATCTGCATTCCCGATTTGCCCAAGCAGGTAGCCGTTGTTGTGCCGCAAGTTTAGGACGAACCTCTGAAAACTGTAAAGTTTTTCTTCGTACTCCTCCGGCAAGTTTGGGCACATGCCCGTTCGCTTTTAGAGGGAAAAGCCTTTCCTCTTCATAAAGTTAGTTAGCTAGCACCTGCTCGCTTTGAACTGGCTCCGCGTTAGCTTTTTTTCTAAAGCTAACTGCATAGCCCGCACTTAGAGCAGTTCTGTCGTCACGGGCCGCTGTGCAGCTCGCTGCTCAAGCACATACTCGGCGAGCAGCTCTTCAATTTGCGGAAACCGACCCTGCTGTGGTCTACTGAAGCCTTTGCATGAATCTTTGACAATCTTCTGCTTTTGTTTCCGCCAGCCCCACACGCACGTTTCGGGAACTCCGAACGACCATGATGCGGCCCGATTTCCGTCTGTTTCGGCACATGCGATGACTTTTCTTTTAAAAGCGGCATCGTGGTGCCCTCGTCGAGTTTCTGGAGTCGGCCCTTCCATGCCGTCGACGCTAATGAACTACAACATGACGAACTCCTCAGCACGCGTACGAAATGCCGCACATGGGAAACACATAGGCAGAAATGGCCGACGCGCCATGCCGAAGCACGTAGGGGGCGGCCATTTTGGAAATGCCGATGGCAATAGAATGACCGTATCCATTTTTTTTTTGCACTCGATTTTAATGTGCATGCGATTTATGAACTCGCTTAACCGGAAAAAAGGTGCGCGTTAGATTCGAGTAATTACGGTGATTCATCTTATTTGAACTATTACATATTTTTGATAAGCT